AGGGGGATCATTTCTTAAAAACCCTTTTCCCTTTTTGTTTTGTTTTCTTGCCGTTTCAATTCTTCGTTGTTACACACAATTGATAATTCCTTCTCAACACTAACATCTTAAATATTTACTTTATTCATTTCAATATGAAGAGATACTCCCCTTAAACATTTTCCCTGTGTTTCAGATTGATGACCTAAATGACAAACCTTTTCCTTCCCAGGCTGTAGGTGAGTTCTGCAAACAACTGTAGGATAAGACTGGAGATATTCTTTATGTTTGGTATTGTCAACAAATCAAAAATAATCATTCAATCCTAAATGTGTTCATTCCATCTTTTTTTAAAACATGGTTAAAGATATATAGACTTAATCGCACTAAACTATTTAGCAAATGTTACTTAAATAAGAGTAGATTATGTATATGTTGGGAACAATATGCAGAAGCAGATTAACTGCCGTGATGAGTATTTCCTGCCGCAGGATTGTGTATGTATTTATGTACATGAATATAAAAAAAAACTTGTTTTTGGTCTCTGGCAGAAAGTCATAGAATTTCAGGCTGTGGCATCACAGGCAACAGAAATTAAATTGAACACCATGTATTGCTCTCAGGTCCTGGCCCTTCATCTCAGATGTTTGACAACAACTCTCTCCCAGAACTCCCCTCGGTTCCCGACACACTCCCCAGTGCCTCTTTCGGCAAAAACACCACCAGCTCAGATGACATCGACTTTGATGACTTAACGCGGAGATTTGAGGAGCTGAAGAAGAAGACCTAAATGCTATATCACTGGTTTATACAAATGTACACACGTACACACTGAGCCTGTGCCGCCACCTAAACAGAACCCAACATGTTAAAGGTTCATGGCTCCGATATTAAGATTTGGATATTCCCCCCCTCCCATGGTAATATAACATAGATATTTAACATACCTCTATTCTTACCTCATTTGTATAAACATGACCTTGACAGTTAGCAAAAATCGAACGACTCTTGGCAGTACCATAGTACCACATATGTTTTACTTTCTTTCTGTAGGGCACATATTATATAGTTATGCAATCATATTGGTGTTGACCCCCGTTCACTCCATTTAGAGTCACGCCAACTTTTATTGTTTTCAAATTTGCCTGTGTAACATTTTATTTAACCAAACTTTTTTAATTGTTGCTTTTCCAAGGGGTCTTTTGGGGTCTGAAGAATATTTTGAAAACATGCCTTGATTCTTCTTTGCACATGCTCTGTTGCTGTGAACTTTGCCACTGTGTCGCACACTCCTGAATCAGACTAGTCAAACCAGCCCGACTTGCCGCCCCAGTTTCATGGGGAGGGGCCAATCACAATAACAAAAGCTAGAGCTTGTTTCCGAGGCAAGGCCCTTTATGAGTGTTGTGCAGTCAGTCAGTTTAAGCTGTGTAGAAAGCATATTTTGAAACACTCCACTTCTTCCAGGTTTATTTATATCAGAATAAGGACCTATGAGTCTTCCAGTTAAAGCCCAATGTGACGCCTTTCAAACATGTTACAGGTGTGGTGGGGCACAGATGTAAAGTGATTAAACAGTGTATGATAATCCTATCTACACGAACGATTGAACTGTAAAACATTAATTTAATTGTAGGGAGTTGTATAATATTTGATATATCTGTAAATCTCCAAATAGTTGTTTTGCTCCTTTGAACGCCTGTCCTACCAAATATCTGCCCCTTTTTTTATTGTTTAGTACTCAAGCCGTTTTTGTTTGTGTCCCATACTGTATGTGTTCCACTGCATTTGCCTTAGTTACCATTTTTCATCAGAGGCCTTGCCAGTCTGTAGGATTATGCATGTGTTATCCATCAAGACTGGATACATATTTCCTGTTAGGATCAGATCACACGTTGCTTTATTTGCTCTGCCCATGAACAACTTCAGAATTTGATGAAAACTGCTGGTCTAGCAATAGAGATGTGCATTAGAGGCTTTTGCTGTACAGAGTGTACACACCCAGCTCTTCTTGCATGGCAAATTAATGGTGGCTTCTAATAAATGATTCAATGATCTCTGGAAGTGAAGAAGAGCTTTATAAATGAAAGCTTTCCAGCTGGGTGATGGACACAGTTCATGGATAGGTTTAACTTGTCTTGGCGGAGTATACATATTAACACTAACAGAACTCTGATCTGCTCACTGTCTTTTCTATGTCTGACTGTTCTCTCATGCTAAACATTGAGACACACAATGGTGTCTGATCACAGAAATGATTATTTTCCACTGTATACTGAAGTAACAATTGAATAAAAGATTATTTAGAACTGGAAGCTGGTACAATTTGTTTTTACTCTATGTTCACAACTTCCTGTTTATATTACTGTGATGTCAAGTAACTACCAGTAGGGGTCCTCAGTGTAAAGGAAAACACTGACCTACAACAAACATTTACTTAATGTAAAACACAATGTGCTTTATGAGTTTTGGATTTTCTTAGTCAGATAATCTGTTTACCTTCTTTCTGTATCATAATAGTCCCGTTTGGTCAATCCTGCATCATATTAAGACACGTTTACCTACTGAATATATGAAGATAAACTCAGCTGAAATCTTTAAGGGGCACACTTAACTTGGAAGATGGGAAATAGTGTCAACCATTAGCATTCTGGTCACAAAATTGAAATATTTTGACAATCAGAAAGAGCTCCAAAGTTGAGATTGACTGTATCTTTGTTCCTGATGATTAGCGCTCATTGTGTAATACAACATGTGGCAGACAATTGGCTTTTTTAGGATATTGTTATGTCTTTACTCAGTACTGAGGGTTTGGTAGTCCACCTCAGACTTTTGGTTTACATTCCCAGGTCTGTTTGTGAAGTGGTGTCAGTGTGAATGAGCTGGACATTTTTCCCCCGAGAAAGGTCAACCACTCTTCAGACTGTGCTTTGTTGAATATACAAATCAAGTTAGTTTACATGCCATTCACTTGACATGCTCTCTTTTCCCTCAAATGTATTTCAACCTACCAGAAACAAGAGCTAGATGTTATTAGAGGTGTTTAAAATAAATTATTTGAGTTGACTGCCTCACATTATTTGTAGCATACGTCACATCACAATAACACCTATCTGATTTGTGGCCCAGTGACAGACTGAGGTTTATGTTTAACCCAGCCAGGAAAAGGGGCCAATGCAGCTTTTCTTTACCTTGTATACTTTTTGTTGTCACTCCAGGCTCATAAACTGACAAACGTATCATAACCATCTCAGAATACACAGCAGCATTGATGACGTCAGCTCCTCCTTCTGTTCAGTGATGTATTGCAGCCAATTACTGTGGCATGAATGTGGTCGGGCTTCTCTGCTGAAACCTGTAAAGAAAAAAGATGGCTCCTGATACAGCAGGAGCTGGGAGCTGATGGGGAATTAATAATCCAATCCAACTTTATCTATAAAGCACTTTAAAACCTTCAGACCAAAGTGATGTACAGAGAAATACAAAAACTCACAGTGCAACTCACAAATAAAAAGCAAGTATCTTTTTTCTTTCAAGGTTATTCCACTGAAAGGATGCATTTTGCAAAAGGGATAATCACAGGCTGGTTTTGTTGGAGAATGATCTAATCAGTGTTGAGATCATCATTATATAGTTTTAATATGGTGTGTACCTATCAGACTTCACAGACTTCCTGTCCAGTGCAGGGGATGGAAGCCCTCAGGCAATTGTCCAGATTGTTAGTGATTGAATACTGATTGTGAATGATCAGACAGCAATCTTTTCTTTAGTTTTATTTTGGTGTTTTACATGAATTTTGATGCAATTCTAGAGTCTAGAGCATTTGTTTCTGCTCTACAAGGACACAGATGACAGTGATACTAAGGAACATTTTCACTTTTACAATCACTTCATTTTAGATTTGATAAAAAATACTGCCACAAAGAAGTCTAATCAGCAACCAAAAGGTACTTTGCTTAACAGATGCTGAAGCTCAGTTTATCTGAAGTTTATCAGAAAGCCAAAAACTAATTTAAATCTAATGTGTAGTTGTGAGTCCGATGATAGGGCCCCTGTATTATTATATATATATAGACATTTTATTGATTGGGATAAACCCCTTGAGATGCACCATCTCGTTTTCAAGGGGGTCCCGACAATAGCAACAACTTACAGACATACATAAACAAAAAGACAAAATGCAAAACATGACACACAAGACAAACCACATACAGTCTGTTAAGTGAAATTCAAGCAATGCACACAATCATTACAATTTGAGACAGTCAAGCAAATCAGTTTCATCAATATCAGTTATAACAAGTACAGACCAGTTGAAAGTGAGATGATAATGCATGTTTAAACATACCCAATGATGCAAGAGATCTAATAGCAGCAGGTAAAGTATTCAAGTCAGTTGGGGCTTTGAACATGAACGCTCTTCTGCCAATCAATTTTTTTGCAGAGGGGACAGAGAAATAAATCTGAACAGAATGTCTAACTTGATGAATTGGTGAGTAGGGTACAAAATACTGCTTTAAATAAGGGGGATAGTTAAGATAAATGCATTTAAATATCAGCTGAAGCCAATGCATGTGTCTTCTTACATTTAAAGAAGGCCATTTAAGTTGGTTATACATTGTGCAGTGATGTGTACGAAAAGGACAACCAAGAACAAATCTGCATAGTCTGTTGTAGGCTATGTTGAGTGGAGCAAGATCTGATTTATGTGCATTTTTGTAGACATCACAATAGTCCATAATCGGAAGAATAAGTTGAGAAGCAATTCTCTTTCGGACACTGAGTGTAAAACAATTGCGAGAGCGGTGTAAAACACAGATTCCGTAATTGACTTTTTGTATTACATGCTTTATATGTAGTTTAAATGAAAGTTAAGAGTCTAGCCAAACACCAAGATATTTAAAGCTATCAACTTTATTATTAACTAAATAAAGAGATAAAAAAGATGATATGCATCAGTTTATTCAGTTTCACACATGTAATACATACATAGTCACATCAATAAGTGTCATGTACATGGATGCAGTTAGTTTTGCTACGAAATCATTCGATTGAAGGACAGACTGAATCACATAGAAAGTCGGCATATGATGAGAATTCATGACATGCACATTCAGAACATTACAGTGACACGAAGGTGGAATGAAAAAAGTGATCAATTTCCATACGTCCCACATATTACATAAAAGCACCTTTGCACTCTAATAAAAGCCCATCTTTGTATGCAGTCAGACGCCACACTGCGATGACTAACAGCATTTAGGAGTTGCTTAATTCTAAATATGTCCATATTTTTAAAGTTACTATAAAGTTAATGATGTATTCTAACAATAAATATCAGAAGGATTGTTATAAATTCATGATAAAACGAGAAGGGTTCAGTATTTCTCCCCATGGTACCAATCAACTGCTCTACTAAAACCCAAACTTACACTTAGTAAACTTGGGTAAAATAACAATAAGAACAACAAAAATACATATATTCTTTGTATTGTATAGAATATCTCTACATATTCAATAGCTCTAGCAGGGCTCCTATTATATTACGGATGAGTATGTTTACTTTATTGAAGACAGTTTGTCCCTCTTTAAAATAACCCAACGAGCTCATGATGTCTAGATTTTCAAAAGAAACACTATAAAATGCAAGAACAAGTTATTTATTTACCCATTTACCCTGACTCACCCTTTCAGAAAACATTCTCATGCATTGGGAACTCTGTACACATACAAAACACCAGAATTAATATTTCATTTAGAAAGTAAGAACTTCCAAAAAGTGGAAAAGAGTGTTTAAGAAGTCAGGTTGTCATGGATCACAGCTGTGCCCAGAAGAAACACAGCTTATCTCGCTTAATGCAGCCTCCTCACAGCGAGTGTCTGCCAGAGTAGCGACCACACTTGATTTGTTGCTCTGGGAAATGGAGAGGACAGTAGTTAGACTCTCAGCACGTTACTGTGCTTTATCTGAAGGAAGGATACACTGATACACTACAGAGAGAGAAGTCAGTTGGGAGGAGCAGAAACTAAAAGGGTTTATATTTTACAAAGCAAAGATTATTTTACCGTTTCATATGCGTCATTACATAACGGCGCTCTGCAGGTAACTACACTCTTTATAAACAATTCAGGAAGAAAGCTGTGTCTGCTTTATAAATTATGAACAAGTAGTTTGGACTTAATCATTTATGTGAACATGATATTTAGAGGCTTTTCAAATGCTGCATCCAACATCTGCGTTGTCAGTTGATAATCCTCTGTGCAAAAATATTGATTAAACCAGCCTTTAGGATGATGGAAAAACATAGAGAAAAACACCAATGAAAAGCTGCTATTCTGGTTACATTTCAGTACTAACCATTGCAGGCATAAGATGAGCACAGACAATATTAAAGACAAAGAAAAGAGCTGCACAATACACAATATTTACAGCTAGAAATATGTACACTGAACCTGTTCTGTTAACAGATGGTCTGCATAAGGTTCTTCTTACCTAACTTCAACTGCTCGATTTCCTCAGATTCCTCCACAGCTACAGGTTTTAGCAGCAGGGCAAAAAACACAGCAATTCCTAACACCTGTAAATAAAAACAAGCCACAACAAAGCAGAATATCTTAAATATAGTCATATTAGTGTGATATGCTGGATAAATATAGTTTTCCTTTACCCACCTTGAGAGGCTGCAGTATGAAGATGCTCTGGAAGAGGGAGAGGCTCAGAGACATGACCCACTTGATGGATTTAGCTCTGCCATAATCCAAGCCGTACAATAGGGTGAAGAAAGTGGATATTCCACTGATGGACAGCAGCAGGAACCAGCCCAGGAACACACACCACCAGGGCAGCCAGCAGGTTGCCTTCTTCTTCCTCTTCTTTACGGGAGGGGGGCTGAGCCAATGAGGAACAAGGAATGAGATGAAAACACACAAGTAGCTTCGGTTAAACAAAACCAGTCATATTTCTACTTTTTGTTTAGATTTTTTTTGTGTCGACCGGATTGCTGACCAGTAGGCCAAGTGGCTGCTGAAGACCATCTCGGCCTTGCGAACCAGAATGTTGGTGGTGTTGAGGGTCTGCAGGTAGTCCTGTGGACTCGGGAAGTTCCTTTCATCCAGTTTCTCCAGACACATCAGCAGGTGACAGAGACCAGCCAGGAGGAACTTGCTGCAGTAAACCCAGTGAGGGTCACTCTCACTCTCCCCTTTGACAGGATTATATAAAAACCAGCGTGTGTAGTTATGCATATTTGTGAACTGTATGTCAAGAATCACGTCTGCGTTATGACTTAATGGGCTTAGGATGGAAGGCACCAGATAGGCTGAGTAAGTTGTTCAGAAAGCACTCTGTAGCTTTGGTATTTTCATGGGATATATATGGCCTTAGAGGGGTCCTATTATGCTAATCCTCAGGTTCATATTTGTGTTACATATACATATTACATGCTTTAATGTTCAAAAAGGTATTTATTTTTCTCATACTGCCTCATACTACCACCTCTTTTCCCCCTCTGTCGGAAACCAGAGCCCAGTCTGCTCTGATTCTATTGTGATTGGTCAACCGCTTAGAGATGTCTATTACGTACAATGTGTTCGCAAGCTATCCAAAAGAAACAGAAATGTAATATAGTGATGTCACTATGTTACAGAAGCAAACAAAGGAGTCAAATTGAGGTGTTTCTTTGCAGATCATTTACAACCTATATAAGACACTACAGAAAGGGGAAAACCCCCAAAAGCACAATAGGGCCTCTTTAATATGACACTGTTGTAAGTGCAGGTCTGTTAAGCTCATAGAGAAGTTTTCAAAAGATTAAACGCACAATGTAAATCTACAATACAGCCAAATACAACATTATACAGAAACAATATTTCCTAAAGCTCAAAGGGGGAAATGTATTCTTAGCGCTCCTGGATATTATGTTTCTGTATAATATTGTATTGGGCTGTACATGTTGATTTTCTTTTTTTTTCTTTGTAAAAACATTATTTTCTTTAATGTAATCAGTCATACACGAAGTAGTCAAAGCAAAAAATAAAAAATACCTTGCATAAGCTGGATGAAATCATGGACCATGTCCAGGGCATAGCTTAGGTCAGAGGTCGACTCCAGCCTGTGCGTCTCTGACATTTTGTTCCTCGGACTAATGCTCATCATGGAAATCACCTCCTCTGTGTCCTAGGGATATTCAAGGGATGCACAACACATAATGAATGCCACATTTTCACTGTCGGTTTCAAAGATATGGAAATTAAGACTACATACTTGGCAGTAAAAGGTCAGGGGATGAAAACATAACATAACATAACATAACATTTCTTAAGCAGAATAAATGAAAACTGGCCCTTGAAAGTGCACTTACAAGGTCAGTGATAAGGTGGTGCAATAACTACTCTTATAAGAAAGATCTGCTGAACACACTCACACCCAAAAATAATTTGATAATAATTAACACACCTTCAGAATAGATGGTATGGTGACAGAGGGGGGTCTCAAGCTCTCCTCAGAGTCTCCTTTATGAGATTTTGAAATCACGCGAGGTTTGATGCTTCGGAAGATGGTGATGATGAGGATGTTGATTGGAAACATGAGCAGACCACTCTGCACCCCCACCATTAGCTCCTGCCACGTGATTTGCATGGAACCTGTAGAGACACAACAAAAAGGACACAGGTCAGAGTCATCAAATGGTTTAGGTTTATGTCTCTCTCCTAAGGTCTGTACGCTACCTCCCCGACACCAAACATCACACAGACAGAGTGAGCTACTAGCTGGTGAATATTGAAGAGTCTTTTGCTCAAGGGTCTGATATTTCCTTCAGAAGTCAATGAAGAAAAAAGTAGCTAAAACTTTTTTTTTTCAAGTGACCAGAATCAAGTTAGATATTACTCTCATTATATAAAAAACCCGGTATAAAACCTTGAAAAGTTGTGGGATACGGGCAAACATTATAATTAACTGTTTACAGTGCTTGAAGTTCAAGAGAGTTTTATGGTTTTAATTTCCGTGTCAACAGAAGCAGTTAAAAGAGGCAGTGAAGGTCATCAGGAAGTTTTCTGTTTCCCTCCTACATCAGGATGGAGACGAGCGTTTCTATGCCAACCAGTGGATCCAACAAGAAAAAGAAGCAGCAACTTAATGAAAAGTTAGATCTGTAGATGTAGAAGTGCTAGTGAGTGCCATTTAGAGAATACATTAAAATCTATTTCTGTGATATTGATGCTCTATTTTCTGAGGAAGTTTGTATCATACTATATCTTCTGGCCTTGTGGTTATTTATGAGTTTTTGTATGCAAAGGAAATTATATTGTGTATACTTTTTCTGATTGGGTGCTGTTTGATTGTTTAAAACAAAGGAATTGAGTGTCGACTTGAATGAATGAACGCTTTTATAACATCATACTTTTTCATCTTTGGGCTAGGAGCAAGGTTAGTATTCTCAACAAAAGGCTGAGAAACAAAGGAAGTCATTGCTGTTCAATTAAAGTCAGGTTGCATATCTAGTTTTTGTCAAGTTGATTCTAAAGTCATCCAATGTGTGGCTCCAGTCCACGCTAAAATAGTTAAAGTCTTAGCAATTCACCAAATTCGAAGACAACTGGTGAATCCTCTTTTATAGGAATGTTCCAGAAGGCGATGTTGATTGCCATGGTGCAGAGGAGCAGGCTCATGCAGCAGGAGACCCTCTGGGCACGAGTGAACGGACTACGTGAGGGAGGGTCCACGATGGACACCCAGATGTGTTCATCCCTGAAGCCTGTCGAGGTTCTAGTCTGGAAAATATTCCTAGAAGAGAAACACAGAAACCCATGATGACACTTCCTCAAGAGCTGAGTTGTTTTATTTTCGCTGTATAAAGTGAACTGACCTGAAGCTGGCAACCTCGTTGTTCTTTGCAGCATTGAAGGTTTTCTTGGTCATGTTGTCTCCATGGTCAACACTCAGCCAGCAGTTACAAAAGAAGTGAAACACCTGCCGTGTTTGGAGGTCTTGTACGGTCACCTTGTTTATATACCTTTTTATAAAACAACAAAGATGACAGATTTACCATATGGCTCAATTTATGTGGGAAATGCAAATGTTAGATAATAATCATTAAGCTCCACTTTGCAAAATAAGAGCACCCAATGGTTGCAACAGAGATAATTTGATATCATATTGTGTACTTTGTGTATTTTATTTTGAGATTTCCATTTACAACTTACTGTATGCAGTGTATATTTCCCAAAGCAAGTTGTGTTAACGCTATTATAATATCTACTATAAACTATTGCTCATTTTTATTCTCTACCAAAATGAGAGTGTATACATGTGAACAGTGAGCTGGGAGTGGAATTATATGATTAGTTATAACACGGTAGTGCTAAATTATGAGACTGGCCAGACATTTTAAGGGGTCACTGTGAAAAGCCAGAAAGGTGTCCAACAGGGAAGGCAATAAACACTTCCTGTACTCAGATCTTTAAAAAAGATACTGTTAACAGCTTTACAATGACCCCTATCAATTATCTAGGTTAGAGCTGAATCGAGCATAACAAAAGCTATGTAAATATAATGACAAGGTATAACCTTAAATCGAATAGTTCAACCCAGTCTCATGGCATTTCGTGTTCACCAACACGATTTTTAATCTATTGATTCGTGTTCACCAACACGATTTCCCCTTTTTTTCGTGTTGCACAGCACGATTTTAAAAGCAATGTATTTCTACTGGTAATGACGCTCATGGAAGCACGGCATTCGTTTGTGTCGGCTGCCCTTAAAGGCAATGTGAGCGTCCATTCTCATTGGATAACGGAGAATTGTACACCCGGAAGTAAGTATTCCCCTTATTGTCGATTGATTTTACAGTGATATCTGCACTACTCATCGACTAAAAAACACCAGATTATCCTTGTTAATGACACAACATTGATTGGTTTAAATTGTGTGCAATGCTTTTGTATTTTTCCCCTTCGATTCGGAGAAACAAATATTTTTTCGGAGTAAAGGATGGCAGAAGACACTACACTACCCAGAATCCCCAGCTATCGTTTGGACTACACCATGTGCTCTGTTTGACAAACCCCGTTTTTTTTTCACCATTCATTCCAATGGCTGGCGTCTATGTCACGTGATCTTCAAATTTCTCCCTGCAGAAGAAAAAAAACATGGCCGAACTTCGTTTTATTCTCGGTGGAAAATGCCTATTTTAAAGTTAGTTTGGCCAATAAAATGCGTTTTGATGTCATTTGATGCGAGAAATATGAGTTGTTATTTCAGATTATGTGTGCAGTGGATGTACATGATCTTTAGTTTGCTAGTTATTACGAAGATTACTTCAGGAAATTGCGTCCATTGTTACCAAGGTGGTTGCTAGGGACGCTGCTATCGATATTATTTCTGTTATGTTGTGTACCTGTTTAATGGTGTTATCTTTATTGCTACCCCCTTCCCCGTCAATGTATAGTGTTGGTCTACAGCGCAAACATATTAGTTAATAATAGTTAATAACAAAATCCGCATCTAAAGATAGCCTACGTTATTTTCCCCTGTGCAATTCCAGTCTCACATCTCACAGCACATCGTCATTAACAAACACCGGAAACAGACCGAAAACATTTTTAAAAAAAAATAATAATACTTTATTCCGAGTGTGCTTGCTTTTCTCTTTGAAAGTCATCACATAACGGCATTGTAATACACGGTTCGGCTGCATTAAATATTACATATCTGCCGTAGTTCTGTATTTATAGAGCCCTGATGAGAAGACTTCTAGACAAACATGAGGAACTGAAAACGTGACGTGGATCATAAATATATCAGCCATTAAACAACATCTTACATTTCTTTTCACACAATACGTCTCCTTGCAGTATCAACACTAATTCGGCTGACTTTTATATTTGATCCAATTGGTAGATAAGCTGTATTTACACCATAAAGGTGCACAGCTGATATAAAGGGACACCTAGTGGTTAAATCATGTTATTGAATTTCATTATTTTTATTATTAGATATTAATAGGATCCCTATAAAGTATATTCATTACTCGTTATTCTCTACTAATAGTTAATTAAAGACTGTATATAATGACTATTTTGCACATCCCTTTCAAGATTTCAAGATTTTCTAATGTTTATTGACATGGGCCTACACAACTATGGTGTAGTTATGCATTGAATGAAAAACTTGGGTCGCAGGTTCCTCAATAGTGCATTACAAGACATCTATCAATATTTGTGCATACCTCCAGCAATGTTAACTATGTTGAAGCACTTATTTTAACTGATATTATACATAATGTATTATACTCTTATAAGATGTATGTAGATATTTCATCTCCGACCTTGTCAGGTATTGAACAATCAATAAATAAAGAACACAGAATTGTTAAATATAAAACACAGAATTTGTGTGATTATACTAAATGATTTACAAATAAACACTACTGCATATTTACAACTGTTACACATGCTGATGTAACGCAAATGTTCCAACTTGGGATCAATAAAGTATATCTTATCTTAAGCTGATCGATGGCTACTGCCATATTTGCAAAATGTGCCTCTGAACCTTGACAAGTGCATGTTTCAGGCTTATCAATTAATGTAATGTAATGTAATGTTATCAATTAACAACAGGGGTCACAAACATAAGACCAGCTGTTAAATAAAGCTCTTCTGACCTTAGCTGGCATGTGTCTATATATATTAATGCTGCCCATTATGGGCACAAGCAATTTTCACCCATTTATTAATTATATGTTTTAAATTTGAGTGTTTCCTATCCCCTAAACCTCCAGGGATGTACACAGTTTAATACTGGCAACTTCTTATTATGGGAAATACGAAAACAGTCTTTTAAAACTACAACTCCCAGTAGAGACGTGCCATAGATAGAGAACATGTTGCGAAACAGAATAGCCAGCATGTGTAGTTCTGGGGACGGGGTGGGGGAGGCGGGGACGCGGTGGACCCGTTCAAATCCAGTTTTGAACAGTCTGCCGTGGTTCCATCCCATTTCAAGTGCTGTTCGAGGCTCGGCGTAACCCTCGGAGCACACTCTCCAATCACAGAGCTTGAGGACTATCACGGGGTTTGTCAAACACAGCACATGGTGTAGTCCAAACGATAGCTGGGGATTCTGGGTAGTGTAGTGTCTTCTGCTATCCTATACTCCGAAAACATATTTGTTTCTCCGAATCGAAGGGGAAAAATACAAAAGCATTGCACACAATTTAAACCAATCAATGTTGTGTAATTAACAAGGATAATCTGGTGTTTTTTAGTCGATGAGTAGTGCAGATATCACTGTAAAATCAATCGACAGTAAGGGGAATACTTACTTCCGGGTGCACAATTCTCCGTTATCCAATGAGAATGGACGCTCACATTGCCTTTAAGGGCAGCCGACACAAACGAATGCCGTGCTTCCATGAGCGTCATTACCAGTAGAAATACATTGCTTTTAAAATCGTGCTGTGCAACACGAAAAAAAGGGGAAAATCGTGTTGGTGAACAAGAATCAATAGATTAAAAATCGTGTTGGTGAACACGAAATGCCATGAGACTGGGTTGAATAGTTGGAGGTAAACATCATTTATACTTGTTTGAGCATTGACAATAGCCATTTATTGTACCGTGCACTGATCTTAAGTATAACTAAGTGTTTCAAATGCTTATCTTGTACCATGATGGACGGCCCCCAGAGTTGTCGTGCTGCAGTCGGAGGTTTCGCACTTCGCCCAGAGGGAAGGGTGTGGCCAACAGGAACATATCAACAGCTCCTCTCTCAAACACAGGCTTGTCAGGGTCTGTGAGGATGTGTGTGTCACTCTCGCCGTCTGAGCCAGTCAGCTTCACTGTCACCTACAGGAGTATGCATTGATTATTGAAAATGACTTTCATGAAATCGAACATGTTCATTAAATGCATTCAGATTCAGAATGCTCTGTACAGTGATGATCGATGCATTTAGGTGTTGTGGGAAGTTCAAACATTTAAGAATTGTGAGTTGGCTAAAAGACAACATATTCAGTAGGATAGGTTCACAATTGTTCAAGTATGTCTCAAAAGATTATATTTATATTTGATCTTGGATTGATTCACTGGCTGTCTGAAAGGTATTCAAATAAATGAATTAATCTCAAGTATACATAAATAATTTTAAGCAGATGCTGCCAAGTCAAGTCATTTGATTATTATATGTTATGTTACAGCCATATTTCAAAATGGATTAAATTCATTTTTTCCCTCGACATTCGAGACCCCAATAATGACCAAGTGGAAAAAGTTTTAAAATATTTGTTGTAAATGACTTAAAAATAAAACACAAGTATTCACACCCTTTACTCAATACTTTGTTGAAGCACCTTTGGCAGCAATTACAGCCTCAAGTCTTGAGTATGATGATACAAGCTTGGCACACCTATCTTTGGGAAGTTCCTCCCATTCTTCTTTGCAGATTGTCTCAAGCTCCATCGGGTTGGATGGGGAGCGTCGGTGCACAGCCATTTTCAGGTCTCTCCAGAGACGTTCAATCGGGGTAAAGTCTGGGCTCTGGCTGGGCCACTCAAGGACATTCACAGACTTGTCCTGAAACCACTCCTTTGTTATCTTGGCTGTGTGCTTAGGGTCGTTGTCCTGTTGAAGGGTGAACCTTGGCCTAATCTGAGGTCCAGAGTGCTCTGGAGCAGGTTTTCATCAAGGATCTCTCTATACATTGCTGCATTCATCTTTCCCTTGATCCTGACTAGTCTCCCAGTTCCTACCGCTGAAAAACATCCCCACAGCATGATGCTGCCACCACCATGCTTCACTGTAGGGATGGTGTTGGCCAGGTGATAAGCGGTGCCTAGTTTCCTCCAGACATGATGCTTGGCATTCAGGCCAAAGAGATCCATTTTGGTTTCATCAAACCAGACAATTTGGTTTCTCATGGTCTGAGAGTACTAGGTGTTCAATGGGGGCTTTCATGTGCCTTTGGCTTCCTTCTGGCCAATCTACCATAAAGGCCTGATTGGTGGAGTGCTGCAGAGATGGTTGTCCTTCTGGAAGGTTCTCCCATCTCCACAGAGGAACACTGGAGCTCTATCAGAGTGACCATCGGGTTCTTCTTGGTCACCTCTCTGATTTCGGCTGTTTTCGTAAGTCGGGAGACGAAGCGTGTCCTGTCGCCCAAACTCAATTTGTTGTGTCCCGCACCGTCGACCGTGACACGCCTTATTTGGACTGCCTGTCCCGATGCATGGCCGATTCAACATGTTGAATCGGCCATGCATAGGGTCTGGCAGTCGGACCAAACAATCACTCTGATTGGCTGTTCAGCTAGCGAATCAGTGCATGAGAAGCGAAACGGAAGTGAGGGACGTAAACAAACGATTTAAGAAGGCACACACAGACTGATATTCATTTTCATCTCATCATGGCGATCTGGAATGACGCAAACGAAGACCTGCTCATCACATTGATCCAGGAGAGGCCAGCTCTGTACGACATCACAGAGAAAAGGTACTCGAACCGAGTAGTGAAAACCGGACTCTGGCGAGAGATTGAAACGCAACTTGGTTTCTCGGGTAAGATGATCTTTTTCATCAATTGAGCTCTTTAGCAGATATTGTTGGCGTTTTATTGTTTGCCAGCGTACAGTGACGTTAACGTGAAATGTAATTTGTTATTTCAACCTTGTGTTTTGTTGTTATCTTGTTGCTAGCTGTGCAGTTTGGCACTGCATATAGATATGAATTGGACACAATGGTTACATCGTTTATTTGTGTGCTTCAGAGAAAGAGCTGAGGAAGAAGTGGGATTCTCTGCGAACCCAGTACACCCGGTACAGGAGACTTGCCCCTTCGGGTAGTTGTGGAGCACCAAAGACGGGCAGACAGCAGTGGATCATAACCAGGCTGCAGTTTGCACACGCTATTTGTTGTTGTTTATATCACGCAGTCTGTTCTTCTTCTCTGTCTTCCGGTTGTTGCCTATTTTTAATGACGAATACACACTACCGCCGCCAGCTGGTAAGGAGAGTTATTGCCACTCACGCACTGAAGTCTTTGCGGTGTGTTCCCGTGCGACACATGGCCAAGACGCAGGAGAACACCGCAACGCAACAGCCGACGTCGGCGTCGGCAAGTCCTCTGGTGACTGCTTGGTGTGTCAGGGCCTTAAGGCCCTTCTCCCCCGATGCTCAGTTTGGTTTGGGCAGCAAGCTCTAGGAAGAGCCCTGGTGGTTTCAAACATCTTCCATTTGCAAATAATGGAGACTACTGTGCTCGTTGGGACCTTCTATACTGCAGACATTTTTCTGTACCCTTCCCCAGATCTGTGCCTTGATACAATCCTGTCTCTGAGGTCTACAGTCAATTCCTTGGACCTCATGACTCAGTTTGTGCTCGGATATGCACTGTCAACTGTGGGACCTCATATAGACAGGTGTGTTCTTTTCTAAGTCATGTCCAATTAATTTAATTTACCACAGGTGGACTCCAATCAAGTTATAGAAACATTTCAAGGATGATCAGTGGAAACGGGATGCACTTGAGCTCAATTTTCAGTGTCAAAGCAAAGGGTGTGAATATTTATGTACATGTGATATTTCATTTAATTATTTTGAACACGTTTGCAAAAAAATATCTTAAAACGTTTTTGCTTTGTCATTATGGGGTATTGTGTGTGGGATATTGAGAACAAAAATGAATTTAATCCATTTAGAAATAAGGCTGTAACATAACAAAATGTGAAAAATGTTAAGGGGTATGAATACTTTCCGGATGCACTGTATAAACACAATTTTGTCAATCAAAAAAGACTCTTACATTGGCAGTAGTCCCAGCATTCTTACGATGGCCAGTTTGGACACCGATCAGATAATTGTACTGAGCGCCGGGGTGGTTGTCTTCCAGCAGAGTCATCTTCCTCTGATGTTTCAACAGAAAACATTTTGGTGAATAAATGTGAATATGTTCACAGGTGGAATGAATAACATTGCACTCTGGGTTGAAACCAGTGGTGGAAGTAGACTTACTCAAGTACTGTACTTCAGTAAAACATGTATTCTACTACATTTGGATGTCAATACTTTTCACTACACTACATTTATTTTAATTGTATACTTTGTAGGGTTGAGTATTCATACTATATGTAAATCAAATAATAACGTTGTATGCAGATGGAGTATGATTTTATTGTACAAAATGGCATGTTTATGAGGGCTGTTAATAGAGACTGACCTTAGAGCGTGCTCTGCGGTCAGAGTAGCAGGCCCACAGCAGAGTGACCAGGTAGAGACCGAAGAAGGTGCACAGCAGAGCCAGCACCACAAAGTTCTCAGACAAGGTGGAAAACAACTCTGCGGTGCGAGATAAGTCCACGTAGTTTGGCATCACAAAGAAGGAGCTCCCAAAGAGAGTGAGGTGGTTACACAGACACTGTGTTCGCTCTGGAGTGCTTTTGTCCCCCACCTGAGACGAAGAGAGTACATCACTGTGCAACTACTGGTGCTATACGAAACATTAACATGCATAACCAAAAGCAATACAAACCAGTACATCACTCTTTATAATGGTTGAAATGTACCTGGCAGCCATACGTGCTCCATGTCTCCTTCTCTACGTCCCAGTACACACACTTGGCCGTAAAAGAGTTTATCCTTAGTGTCAGACCTGGTTCCCAGGAGGAATTCAAGAGTCCGGATTCAATATACCAGACTCCACGAGTATGCTGCAACATCTCAGGGGTTATCATCCAGCGATAGCCTTCTGTTCCAAAAACCAACCAACATTACGTCATGACAAGAACCAATTGGTAGAAAACAATGAAATACTGATACATAAAAGTGGAAGCACATGCACATCAGGCAAACAATGGTAAAAGGGAGTCTGTTGATGTTTGGTGTTGGTATTATACTCACCTGGACCAGAGTGGTGCTATTGCTACAGATCTTAAAACTTGATGTGTTAAAATGATTGAAAAACCGAGACTAGGGCATGCAGCAGTGACAGTTACCTGTGAGGTTCAAGATGGTTGTGTTACTGAAGTATGTGTCGTTTGGAGGTGACCCTTCAGACAACCTAAGAACTAAGGCAACATTGGCATTGGGCTCCACAGTTAAGCAGATGGTCACGTCAGGGTCTGAGACGTTGATTGTGGTAAGTGCTTTTGTGTTTTTTTCCAAAACAATTGTACTGTTCGTTGGTATTGAAGCATTTGGATAAGGTATAAAGATCTGAGGAAACCATAAAAAGCAAATTAGTTCTTAATTAGTTTTCCTATTTAGAATCAAAACAATATGTAGGACGAAAATGCATTGTGAGAGCATTGTGCAAAAGTGAGTGTCATTTTCTTCTGGACTGTATGTTATGTGAATTGGTGTTCTTAAGTCTTTGACCATGTGTGCATATTATTGTGTATTTTAAAGATGAAAACAACATTTTCTTCTTAAGAGTAGTATATTCATCACTCTTTCTCCCCATGTTCATGTGATGTACATGTCAATCTGATTTCTGCTGTAATCAAGAATTTCACTGAGAGGCTCTGTTAAGGTATCTTAATGTTTAATTGTCTGCTTGTGATTCACAACATTGTGCAAACAGGACCTTAGCTTGCAACCTAAATCCAAAAACATTAGCACTGTGGTACAAATGACAAAACCCACTTTTCATGTTGGCTTTACCTCTACCATCTCTGACAGGTTTGACAGATGTATTTCTTTTTTATTATTACTAAGTAAAAGGCTGCAAACAGTTCCTGAGATTTGGACATCAGTTGGATGTGGATTCTTTGTGAATGTAGCCATCTAACAAAGAGAAGAGCTCTGATGAAAAGGCTGTATATTACAAGGAAAATAAAGTCACACACAAAACATGATGATAACACACACAGACCTGTGATTTGATACTGTCGTATCCTCCAAGCTGACTCTTAAGCGCTGCAAATGAGGGTAGTTTGATGAACGCACCATCTTGCTCTGAACCCAACACAGCATTGCCTAGTTCGGCAGGTGTGTGACTAAAAGTAGGGAAATAAAATGTAGAATATGTCTTTTACTATATTTATTTGTTGTCCTTTTGTACTACCTCTGTAAAGCGACTTTGAGCACCTGTAAAAGCGCTTGCAAAATAAATGTATTATTATTATTTAGAATATACAGTAAATTAGTTTTTACTTGCTGCCATATTGATATAGTTGTAAATTAGTGAAAAGTTGCATATGTGTTTGTCATAATTAAGCGATACTCTGAAAGAAGAGACCTACCTGCTTTGATAGATGATGCCTGTTGGGTGCCTGATGATAAATTGCTGGGGGTATTTTGAAACCACCAGCTCTGAGATTATGCGAAAGATCTCAAGGACTTGCTCAAACAAAGACTGGAGAGAAAAAATGCACTGTAAGAGACATAATAACGACAAAATGTCCATGATTGCCTAATGCAGTACTTACAGTAGGGTTTGGGTTGGTCTTGATGTCACATTTGTTCATGGAGAGAAGGAGGATGCCGGTGCTGCATTTGATTATTTTATTAACAGTGTCATTGTCTGGCAAAATAGAGTCATCAAGCAGCTTCACAGTGCCAAGCAACAAATACTTAATGAACTCGTCCTGTGAAAGTAAAAAAAGACAATCAATTAAGGTGCAATGATAGCATAAAACGAAAGGTGAAAATTGCCTCAATAATAATGCAATATTTTCGACAGGCTTTCCAAAGTGAAGGTGCCCACCCTGTTTTGGTTTGTGGGCTCATCTGCTGTTCTTTCCATTCGCAGTAGTTCTTCTTCTGCTGCCTGTCACGGAAAAACAGCACTTGTGAACTTTAAGGTACAATTAAATAACTATTAGTATTCAAAGGTTTTCATGATTCAAGGGTAAAACAGACTATGTGAAATAAGGACGCATCTCTCACCAGGAGAAAGCTATCAATATTTGCAACAGATGCCAGCATGTCAGATAAAAGAGTCCTTTTGGGTCCTAAAAAAGAGTGTTGGAGCAGTAGAGAAAAAACGTTTTTATGACTGTTCCATACTTTCATAGTTAATTGAAATGATGAGATACATCATGTTTCAAACTTACGAGATCTGGTTGCATGACTTGACACCATTGTGTTCTGAAAAGAGAACATGAACAAAACTCACATTTGAGAATAGAGTCTTGATTTTAATTTGGCTTCTTATTGACTGAACTGTTTCTCTTACCTTTGTGTTTGAGGCAGACCACTCATCTTAAAAACAAGAATGACACTTATAAAAGACAGCCTATTGCACACTATTGAGTATAAAGTGAAATAAAAAAAATAAAACTGTAATAAAACTTCACTCAGTTGATATCTAGGAAAAGAAAGGCAAGGAAAGACAAGAAAAGAAAAAGGTAAGGACGGAGTAAGGCTATAGGGATAAGGAGGCTGTTGTTGCATACTGTGTGTGCAGAGAGATCCTCGTCTCTGGTTGCAGTCGGGTGTTAAGATGAGCTGAAAAGGATCCAACTTTATGTAGGTACAGTTTTCCTTTGAAACTTCAGCGTTTTCTGTTTTGGAAAACAAATGTGGGTACATAAACACGCACAGAGAAAAACTCTTAGCAAAGCTTAATTATTGGGACATTTCTATGAGAAACAATTGTGTGACCTTTAACAGAGTGAAGAAAATCAGATTGGTCTGAACCTATTCACTAATCTGTAATTTATCAAAGAGTCTGTTAGATGTCAAACAAAAGTGAAATATCTCTTACACCCAGAGCGCAGTGTTAAGTCTTTAAATTGCTTGTATTTTCTAAACAACAATCAAAAACACTTTTAATGAGATTCATGCCTGATAAATAACTCAACAAATAAATGTCATTTTAATTTACTTTAAAAATGTTGGTCTGATTTTTATCCCAAGAAATATTTGTACATGATAATGAATGAGAGCTAATAAGAATGTGGGGGTTACTATTACTTGTGCAGACGGCTTTAAAGGATATGAAAAATACATAATTAAAAAAACAGCGTGCTGCCAATATCCTGAAATATTTTGTAAAGGTTTGTGCCTTCATTTTAATATTTCAAATGAAACCGAGCCTTACATTAAGGGATCATTTATTTTGTGAATACATTTAGCTTATAGTGAGTTACATTTTAGCCACATGGCCTCTAATAATTAATAACATGTTTAACTATCAAACACTTTGCATGTAAAGCCTGGGACAGGAGATCTCAAACATACAAGAGTCTCAAGCGAAAAACACAATTAACTATTAAAGAAAAATACACCAACAAAAGAAATGCAGCGTGGGTGTACTTTACTCACTTGTGGTGGGTTCCCGGTGCTGCCCTTGGACCCCCTCCCCCAGCCACCAGGTGAAATTGCTGATGTTTCCCTCTCTGGAGATGTTCTTCAGGAACATTTGTATCGGGCTGTTCACCACCTTAAAGAGATCCCCTCCTCGGTTTGCACAGCTGCTCCTGGCTTGGGACCAGGTTTCAGATCCCCTAACAAACTCAAAACAGACATTTCTGAATACAAATTGACACTGCACAGAGAGGTCGTTGCCTGTAAAGGCGTCAGAGTTTTCTGGTAAAAACAAAAATCCAACTGAAAGACAAACAAAGACAGATGTTTGCAGTAAGGTGCCCATAGTTATTATAATGTACAGAGCTAAATCACATAGTGCTGAATGAGCTGTGGATGGATCTGAGCAAGATCACTTCCGTCTTTCACATGGAAATGAGAGAGCTTCCTCCAGAAAAACTCTGCATGTGTCCTCAATATATTAGGGAAATCAGTAAAGACACTCAAACAAGATGCAAAGTGAAGTTGGCATCACCAAAGCTCACACAATCTGAACTTCCCATACTGACAAAGAGCTCATTTCAACTTTGTTTTGCTCCTCACATGAAAATAATTATACATGTTATATGTACTATGATCATCATTTCTTGAGAACGAAAGTCTTATTCTCACATGAAATCACCCTTACTACTAATTACCTTTATATCACAGCTTGACAAGCACCTCCACTTTAATGCATGACCAACATCTCTGCCCCGCTTTTCACACACTCCACTCATTGGTGGAAATACTACTGGCGGAAATATCGCGAGAGTATGTGAAGGAAGCTGATACCGCCGGTGTCCGTGTAACATGTTACGAAATGCATGTCCTTTAATTTAATGACAGAAGAGCGTCCATGGCGGGGCATATGAAGGTAATTCCAGAGACGATCTAACATTGTATGTTATGAAGGACAATCAGATAATTGGAAAATTCTCCACGAAACTTGATGTGACCGTTTCTTGTTTGCTAGCTCGGTTGCTCAGCCTAAACGTAATGTTAAACCACGAAACACCTCAAGTTAGCTTTGCTTTCTTTGCATACTGAAACACATGCTGTGGGGTGTTTTGCCCTTTGAAAATAACGTGTAAGGTCTCTAAGTCAGTGTAAGAAAACTGCATAACGACAGAGGTTTAGGGTTATGATTTTACGAGTATGCAGCTCTTACTGAGACTAAAGTCTTAGCCCCCTACACATTGTAGCCAACATCTAGATCTAATTACTAACAACATAGGTGAACTTTATCTATGTACATTCACTTTAGTAGCCTAATGTACTTATTATACTTAGTATAATTTGAGACACGTTTAGCCCACCTTAATATTTGGTTGTATGCTACTTTATAAGCTATAGGAGAGTGGGGTAAGTAGTGCCAATTTTTACTTAAAGTACCTTTAAAGCAAGGGGATTACAGTAATGCCTCCAACTAAAATATGTACATATAGTTTAGGATGTTGTGCATCCCTGGGAACAATCACTTCGGATCTTAAATAAACTGTTTGAGAAATATAGCTTTAGAAAAAAAAGTGGTTTTGTGGCACACCGGTGCGGGGTAAGTTGTGCCATTAGAGACAATACACCGGGGTAAATTGTGCCATTGATAATTGAAGTAAAACAGATAATTTTAATCTCACAAACAATAATGCTATATAAAAGCAAGACAAATTCAATACAACATTATTTATTTAAAGTTTTAACAACATCAAAGGCCACTTTTCTATAACAAGGCCTATGAACACTTAACATCCTACTTGTCCAATGCTGCAGGGAAATATGAACTTCTGTTCCCTTCTGGCTGTACCACCACGTTTTGTGGTGTGGCCAATTTGCTTAAACAAGGCCTAGCGCCACATGAACACATACTCAGAACAAAATTAAAATTCCAAAATGAGCACCTAATCATCTGCAAATCATCTGCATCTGAATCTCTTCACAGATTCGGCCTACTGAACATCCCACTTGTCAATGCTGCAGGGGAATGTGAATTTATACTCCCTTCTGGCTGTACCACCAAGTTTTTGTGGTGTGGGTAGTTTCTTGAGCACATCACCTCTAGGGATGACTCCTTCATCATTCTCTCTAAATGTGAAGATGGGCTTTCCATCAACAGACCTCTTACAACTTTGCTTCAGAAACTTTGCACTGATCTCGTCACCTTCAACATTCTCCACCAATCCAACATAGTTATAGGATTTGGATTTTTTACCTGCAAACTTCACAATGACAAAGTCACCAGTAGACAGATCCTTGTCACCATCATCATCATCACTCTGGACATCTGAACTCTCATAATGAGTGGCATCGCTAAGTGGAATCGGAAAGTCACTCTCTTCTGAGCTACTGGAGAGCACTTTCTTTTTGGGCTTGGTTGGTTTTGACCCTTTCAGAGCCCCCTTCTTATTTCCACTCCTTTTCTTCTTTTCAGCCCGTTCCTTTTCTCTGCTGTGTGTCTTCTCCAGGCCATCTTCTGCCTCATCATTGGTGGTGGAGCTTTCTTCTGAGCTACTGCAGGGCTCGACATTAAGGACTGCCCGATGGCCCGGGGCCATCTAGTATTTAGCTCGGGCAAAGAAGCCTCACCTGCTGGCTGCCCGATCGGGCAATCTATTATGCCAGTATCATGCAGCTCGCGGATCCAGTAATGAGTGACCCGACAGTAAAACTAAACATATCTATAACTAGTTTAGGTAGTTTGAGAGGTAATTAAAATAGCTATGTGTGATATTCTAACCTGAAGTGTGTGTTTTGTTCCGCTCGCAGCTGCAGGTGATTATGCAGAACTGCTTGTCGACTCGTCAGCAGCAGCTGATCTCTCTCTCCCGTCAGATTAGACTTCACTCGCGTTTATGTCCATATCGATCAGATCCAGCTAGTTCTAGCTAATGATAGGACTACCTGCTTATTAAAAGATACCTGCACAATAAGTGTCGCTATGCAACCGGGTGAGGCCACAAAGTATAGCGCAGCATTATGCATAGTTTACATGCCCACCGGAACCCCGAGGCATTACCAACAGATCAACGCACAATCAACCCACACAGGACATCTCTTTCTCCACATTAAAGGTGGGGTAGGTAAGTTTGAGAAACCGGCTCGAGATACACTTTTTGTTATATTCCATGGAATGCTCTTAACATCCCGATAGCAATGAATATCTTAAGTGCTTTGACAAAAAATCCTTTAAAAAATGTCATCTGTGGAAGCCGTAGTACTGTAAAAAGCACGACCAATCATTTTAGCCGGCCCGGCTAAAATAACTGGATGGCCTACCTGCCTGTCAGCTTTCCATCTGTGCACAAACTTATCTCGTGCCCTCATTGGTCATGTGCGCGTTCGTGTGTGTTGGAGGAGGGGCTCTGTAAGGAAGTGGCAGATTTTTTTCTGGCTGTGTATTTTCAAATTCTAGTGCACTCGAGCTGGTTTCTCCAAAATTACCTACCCCACCTTTAAGTGTTAGACATTAGAATTGACTCTTCTTGTCTGTCACATAAGTGGCGCAACTGAAGCGGTATTGCGCAACTGAAGCGGTATTGCGCTAAAGGGAAATTATTTTGACCGGACATTTTGACCGAAGAGATTTAGATTTGCCGGCTAACGGGAACTCTGACGTCGCCATTTTGTGTGCTTCGTGGATGCGCTCAGCTCCTCTCGACTGCCGCTCGGTCAGCTTCCGGATGAGGAGGCATTCGTTCGACCAACTTACAGTAGATAACATTACAAACATTTTTAGCAGGGGCCATAATAGTGTAAATAATGTTTGTTTTGGCATTAATGACTGAATGTAATGTTTTCTACTTTTTTCCATCTGGGAAGGCATTTGCCTTCATCAGATGGAAAGTGTCTTGACCAACAACTTCAGTATTTCTTATAGCAGGGCATGCAAGCAAGCAAACACAAACAAGAACAAACAAACAAGTGAAATTAAGAATAAAATTGAAATTGTATAATATTGTGGTGGTTCATCTTATAATTCAGTCTAGAGAATGCACCAGACAGCATCTAAGACCTGCAAAAATCTAAATTTTCTAGGAGGACGGAGGCCCCCCAAACCCTTCGTGCCATTTTGTCCGCGCGCATTTTTCAGGGCAATCTCTATTGGGCTCAGGGCCATCTGTAAATTAGCTTAGATGGCCCAAAGGGCCATCTCCCAAAATCCTTAATGTCATGCACTGTACTGTACACAGCTGTTTTCTTCTTGGTTTTGGTTTGATTTGCAGCTTTCAGAGCCCTTTTCTTCTCTCAAAAGCCAGTTCACGGCATTTCATGACACCTATGCCATGAAACATTGCTGCTAGTGTCTTAATATGGTCAGCCAGCTCTTTCTCCATGTTCTCATTGAAGACTCGTTTGGCGACTGCTGTTCTTTCATAGCCTGGCTTTGTTACTTCTCCTATTTTTTTCTTATCCATATATTTTTTTATGGTCATCCTGCAGATCTTCATCTCCTTTCCAACCTGACGTATGGTCTTCCCCTGTTGCACCTCTTTCACTGCTCTTTCCAACTCCTCAAGAGGAGTTGAAACCCTGTCTGTCTTCCTTTTGTATTTGCGTGGCATGATGGATTTTGGTCTAAAATTAAGAATGTCACATAGTTTTAGTGATCAAATGTAAGAATACAATGTACAATAACAATAAAATACAATAAAGTAATATATAGTAAATAATCATAAGTTGGCCCTTTGGCACAAATCACCCCAAGCCCACCATTTTGAAAAAAATACATCCCCCAGCTGTTTTGAGCTAGCATCATGCTAACTGTATAGACTCATGGTGTAGCTTACTAAAGCACTAAAACATGTGTGTACTGTTTTCAAAGTTGTCTAAATTGTTCAAACACAGCAATCAAAAAACCTTGATCATAGAAATGTTACTTTGGAGGGCAACAAATTGTTTTTTGAACTTAAATGTGCTTACCTCTCAAGCCATGTGTCTCCCTTCTTTGCAGGATGATTGAAATGGATGCCTCTTCAAAAATATGTGGTCACATGACCAAGTTCTTCTATGGTTTTCTAGATAACAGGGGTGGCAATACTTGCAATTACCCCACTCTCCCCATAGATCATAGACGAAATTAGCTCTGAGAGGGACGATTTTATACTTAAAAGTATTTTCACTTCATGTTAATACCTTATACTTTAACTTCAGTAATATTTTAAAGGCAGGAATGTTAACTTGTAATTCATTTGTTTTTAAGTATTTGTTTACTGTGGTAACCATGGTAAGGAGGGACTCATGACATGGAAGATTTGTAAAGAAATTCAATTAAAAACACAGATTTTCTTCTTTAAAATATGAATATAAAATGAAACGGATGTGTCCTACTTGTCAAGTGTAATAATGCAATTCAGCATTCATTTGTAAACATTAAGTCACACGACATGGAACTTAGACTTTTAGAGAAACTGCTAACATTTTGTTACAATTTCCATTTACAATTTAAAATAACTAAAATCCTAAAATGTCATAAAGGTCTTTAAAGTACATTATTTTAGTAGCTTGTGTAAGTATAGCCTAGTTGACACAGCTTAATTGGAAACGATGCCAGAAGAAGCATACTGATGGTGAGTCATTGGTGTAGTCGCCAAGTAACATCACCAGCGTCAGACATTTTCTACAGTATTTGTCAGAGACCAAAAACAAAGCTAATACTATGGGAATATTGCATAAACATTTGCTATGTGGACAGAAACACAACCCCAAATGCATGATAATGTGACTGTTGGATGTATAGATAAGCAAAACGTTTGCTATATCAAATGAATGAATAATGATCTGTCAACATTGGGTCAACAACTCCAATAGACCTTTTAACAAAACACAGTTTACAACAAAGGGTATTGTGGAAGCTGTGTCACTGCAAACATGTTGTCATTAAACTATTGGCAGCCTATTCACAGTAATTAACGTCTGAGATGAGTTCTTTGAAGGCACAGTCTTATGTTTTCATTTTTGTTGCTCTTGTCAACAGAAGCAGTTCAAGGACGCATTGAAGATCATCAGCTCGGGTAGCTTTCTGTTTGCCTCCTACCTCACTGCAGTGGGAGATGAACGTTTCTATGCCAATCAGCTGATGCCCCTGCTGCAAAAGTGTGTGGGGGCAGAGACGGCGCATGTGTTGGCAGTGAAGATGATCGGTCTGGGGCTGGTTCCTCTGAACCGCTACCAGGACCCCGCATCATTGGTAAGCATATAACATCACTGTTTAGTCACATCACTGTCCATTGATCCTAGACATCGTGAGACTTATTTCCGTTTGTTTTTATGCATCCACAGGAAGTGAATGTCCTGGGTTTAAAGTTCAAAAACCCAATTGGGATTGCGGCGGGCTTCGATAAGCACGGAGAGGCCGTCGATGGGTTGTACAAGGTCGGATTCGGCTTTGTTGAAGTGGGCACAATCACTCCCAAACCTCAGGAGGGGAACCCCAAACCACGTGTGTTTCGACTCACTACAGACCAGGCCATAATTAACAGGTAAGTTTCCGATATGCTAAGGGAAGGGGTCGCCATTCTGAGGGTGTGTTCATCTGAATAATTAAAAAAACAATTACATGTAGGGCTTGGCAATATGGTTGAAAATAATGTGGCACGTTGACACAATCAATTTATACGGTGCTTTTCACATATGATTTGCATTACGCCATTGGTGGATCATGTAGATGCTAATTTTTTGTTGCCATCATTATTGTAGAAATTCATTCATTTAAAAAAAATTATATTTATCCACAATGTTCAGTTGATTGACACCCTACTTTGTGTAGATTCTCATAAATAATTCACTTTATTTATATAACTTTAAGGAGCCTAATTAATCTTTGTCTGTTTTAAAATCCTTAAAACTGAAAACAGGAGCAGGGTAAGGTAATGTTACTGTAAACTGTTCTTCTATACATCTTTCAGTATGCTCAGAGAGATTATGCTACCTTCAGGTTACTGAAAGGTTCACATTGATACAGCTTTGAATAGGAGTTCATAGGTTTACCTCTTCTCCTTTTCAGATTGAATTGGCAACACTGACTTTAATGAGCTCAATGAAGCAAAGCTTTATGCAACAGCTCTTTCCTGCATTTGTTTTTTTCCCTGTCAATTATACATGGTAATTTGTATTCGTGAGGTATTGCATCAGACAATTCAATGAATTAAAGATTTGCTAGTGGAGCTTGACAAATGACAAATCTAATCTAAATTATTCCATATTGGAAACATATTTGGTATGTTATGGTTGTAGTATTAAGTGCACTTGATTGAATTCCTTCGAAAGGATGACCTAGTTACATATCATTTATAAAGCTGTACAATATTGACACAATATTATCTTTGGACAGTGCGTTCACTCATGTATATACAGTATAGCACATGCAATGTGTATAATGCAAAGATAAATATAATATTCTCTCAGACATATTACAATATATTATTCATATAGTATCATGCAGATATACTGACAAATAAGAGCAGACCAGCCTGGAAGCTGCAAAAAGAGTTTGTATTTTATAACAAAACACAAAGACAATTCATTAAACTAACTTAATAGCTCATAAGCATATTCCTTAAAAGGACCAAACACATTTCTATTCCTAAGAGGGAAATTAAATAATTGTAATAAGATGTTGTGAGGGAGGTGTGTGGCGCAGTGGGTTGTGCCTTGGTGTTCGGATCAGGGGGTCACAGGTTCAAACCCCACTGCAGTCAGCATGTCGTTGTGTCCCTGGGCAAGACACTTCACCCCAAATTGCTCCTGTGGGGATTGCCCACAGTGTTGAATGTATGTAAGTCGCTTTGGATAAAAGCGTCTAACAAGTGACATGTAATGTAATGTTCACATCATTATTCGTTTAACACACACTTTGGTTATTATTATTATAAGTAATGAAAAATATCTCATTATTTATATTTGTAAGTTGATATTTAAATAGTTGTTATTGTATATGTGTGTGTGTTACTCAACAGGTATGGATTCAACGGCTGTGGTTTGGCCGAAGCTCAACAGAGGCTGAAGGCCAGGGGCGACACACAGCAACAGCAAAGTAAAGGTTAGCAGTTATTACTAAAACCTGATATAAGTCTATCTTTTATATTTTAACAAAGGAAGCCATATACTAAATTGAGTATTTAATTAAATACACTTTTCTTTTCTATTTGAATGATATAAGCGTGTCCTTGTCTCACATTTATTCTGTCTGATCCATACCTGCTTAAAGCTCATTTAGCACATCAGCAGCCTCTGCCACAGTTGGGTCATTTGTCTGACGATGCAGCCTTTGTTTGTGTTTGTCTCAACCTTCCTGTGTGTGTTTGCATATGTGTGTGTGTGTCTGTGTTTATAGCTGGCTGTCCCCTGGGCATCAACCTTGGGAAGAACAAGCTGTCCCGTGACGCAGGAGCAGATTACATGGAGGGGGTGCGGGTGCTTGGCCCGCTGGCTGACTACCTGGTGGTCAACGTCAGCAGTCCCAACACGCCGGGTCTCAGGGATCTACAGGGGAAGGAAGAGCTGCACCAACTCCTACAAACGGTGGGACTGTCCAAACATTGAATTACTTTCTGGTTTTTAACCTTGCACTGATACAAAATCTGATGACATTGACATTTTATCATCTGGCCCTTTTGTTTAGCCTTTCCCCTTGAAAATTATAGAGTTTAATTCAATTTACATGTATAAGAAAGTTATCATATCAAATGGCCAGTCTTAGCCTTACTAATAAACAATTATCAACAACTAATTTATTTTATACAGTATACACAACATTAACAAAATAATCTTTAAGCAACAAAACTAGTTTGCACAAAATCATGGAGTTAAACTAGTCGAGCTAGCCTTTGCCCCTCATAAAATAAGACATATCTAACAAAAAAACAAAACGGGGAATAAATAAAGAAAATTGGACTAGCCCAGCTGGCAGTCAAATTCAAACTCAAGCATTACTGTTTTTGTTTTATCTGATCAGCTTATATATGATTTATGTATGATGGTTTAAACAGTAACGTAACACTTAACTTAACACGCAAGCTACAGCGTTGGGATTCAAATGTGTTAAATGGATTCAGAACAGGATTCATATTCATTCATCCAACCCTATCGTGTCAGGGTTTGAAAGCAATGTTTAGAATTTGTAAATGGGATGTTTTTAAGCTTACATGATGTTCAATTGTTCATAAGAAAGCTATTTTTTTAAGGCTTACAGCACAGTTCACAGTGTTTCTTGTTTTCTATAGTTGCTCTCTGCCCTGTTAGCTGATATACTCACATGCTCATCGATCTGCTCAGGTGTTGAAGCAGCGCGACGCCCTGCAGGGAGAACATAAACCCCCGGTCCTGGTGAAGATCGCGCCTGACCTCACTGCCCAGGACAAACAAGACATCGCTGATGTTGTCACTGAGGTTGGACGCTTTTGAATGATTGATTAAATGTAATTGAGGATTTAAGAAAGCATATGATATACTTTAAGAATCACAGATAAAAACACATTGGAGCCTTAGGCTTAATCCCACAAATTTAAGATTGAATTCAGATTGGATTGTTTATAGTTTTACCTTGGAAAGATACATTTCTATTTTGTATTCCCGAATGTTCATTTGGTTGACAACAAATATACCAGAATCAATACTTTTCAACTTTGCATGTACTTGGATAAAATAACATCCTGAATAGGTGGTTTAATAAAAAGATATCTTTCTAAGATGACAGGACTGACAGTGTGAGTTACCTACAGTAAATCACATGCTCTTATGCAAACCACACACACCCTACGCCAGGGTGCAGTCACCTTCTGTTTTAAATGGAAGCTGGTTTGCTGGGAAGATAAAAGTTCAATTATTAAAATATACCCATTAGTTGTAGAAAAATGGCAATACACTTTATTTGAACTGCCTCTTTCAAAGCAAAGTTACAAAGGACTTAACAAGGCAAAGAAATATGAAATAGTTCAGTCCTAGAATTTAAATAAAACTATAAGCAAATAAGGTGCAGAAAATTAATTTGAATTAATTCAGTGAAATAATTATATTTTTTAAAGGCTTTCAAAGCCTTTTTAAAATAATAATAATAATGTTTTACAAGTCACAGTTACACATTCTGCTAACCTCAGATCATCAGGCAAAGCTTTTTAGTGGAACATTTTAGCAACTGCTCAGCTAAAGACGCTCTAACTTGCGTTTGACTGCTACCAGGGACATTAAACTAATATAATTTCATTTTGCCCAACAATCTTATGATAAATCATATAATCATATACTTGCTTTATTCAGCATCACTAGAACACATGTTTGCATTTACAAGCATTTGGCTGCTTTCTGCCTCTTTATTTACTTCAAAATTCTGAGTGGGGTGTTTTTGTGCTCATTGGAGCGAGGAGGAGAAAGGCCTAATGGAACTGATGTCCTGGCAGGAACAGAAAGCTACATTTGAACTGCTCTCTGTTGTGGTCACAGTTAATTTCACATTAATGGTCTTACTCATAATTGCCTGCATACACACATATTGTATGTTACTCACTTGCCTTTTTTGTTTTTTTCTCCTGATTATGCAGCTGGCAGTGGATGGTTTAATGGTGTCTAACACTACGGTGTCCAGACCGGAGACGCTCCAGGACTCTCAGAGGTCTGAGGCCGGCGGGCTGAGTGGGCAGCCTCTCAGAGACCTCTCTACCACCACAGTGAGAGAGATGTACCACCTCACCAAAGGTGCTTCCTTACACGCCTACATTTTCTGTATATATGTATTTTTACATTTTCTTAATCAACTCATTATGAGGAAAGTACACATAAAATACACTTATTTTACTCTTTTTAAATGTGTTTAGGTAAAGTACTAATCATTGGAATTGGTGGTGTGGCCAGTGGGCAGGATGCTATGGATAAGATCCGTGCCGGTGCGTCGCTGGTTCAGCTTTACACAGCTCTGACCTACCAGGGTCCGCCTGTAGTGACCAAGATAAAAAGAGAGTTGGCGCAACTTCTTAAGTGAGTAAATGGTATTTCTTTCATGAAGTCAGGGGAAATCTTTTAATAGTAGTTTAAGGTTTTTAGAGTGGTTCCTTCAAAAATGAAATGGTTATTCTGGGGTATTAAAGCATTGGTCTTATTATTAGAACATAGTATTAACATTTACAATCCCCACATGAGCTGCTGAAATCTGAGACTGCAGCTCTTTAAAGTGGACAGGGCCACACATACAAGTAATCAGACAATCTGACAAGAACATCCAAACTTATTTTATACAATGAAAAGGAATGGTCATATTAGTACCAAAACGTTCCTGTTAGAAAAAGTCAATACACTTCAAAAAAACGATTTCCTGGTTCAACTTTGAGCTACCGTAGATGTAGTTGTTGTACTTGCTTAACATTTCTGATTATTATGGATACTTCAAATAAATCACTTTTGGATTTGCCTCCATTACAAATGGTTAGAGAGTCTAGCTACAAACTCTGTAACCATATTGCCCAATTTGACTTTATTTAGCCACATGTCTCAAGAACTCAGTAATTACTTTGGGTTTTCAAAACTGATGGGAAATTTGAGCCCAAGCTATGTAAAAAGACGACGATAGACCAATGTTGTTTAAAAATCACCAGCGTTTCCTGAGTGATACTTGAAATAAATGGCTTTTCTTTGCTATTATATTTCAATTTGCCATCTTTCAATTGTGGAAACATCCATTTCATTCTCAAACCAATATATTCTCTTTTTTTAATTTATTTTTTTAAAGGGAACAGGGGTTCAGCAGTGTATCAGAGGCGGTTGGAGCAGATCACAGGGGAGCAGATGGGTCAACACATTAAATGCTACACAGCACCTGTAGCTGCCATCTCGTCCAATCAGGCAACATGATCCTCAACTTTTCCTGAACTTTGCTGAATGCTGAGGATTGTCTGTCCGTCCGAGTGATTTCAAGGATGAGATATGGTCTGAACTGGGAGCTATTGAAACCATATTTTAGGTACTTGTGGCGATAAAATTCTGAATGCACCAAATCTCACCTTTACTTGAACATATCAACAACGTTGTAATTAAAATATTTTTTGTTTTAGAAAGAAGCTGAGGTTTGTTTGTGTTAGTAACACGTTCTTCATTTGTTACAGTGTAACACATTGTCCATCTTATTGTCCATCTATAAGAGCCTTGCTAAACAGATAAATCACAACATTTTCCAGTTGTTTGATTCAGGTGGTTTGAACCATCTTTTCATACGGCAGTGACGCTGCTGTTATGACGGGCAGTGACGCTGCTGTTATGATGGTTTCATTGTGGGAAGAACTGCAGAAATCTTTTATTGAGAGAAATGTTATTTGTCTGACAAGAGTTTCATCAACTGACCCTTCCTCCTTATCTGCAGCAGGAGCAAACAGTCCATTGACAATGATTCCAAAGATGTTTAGCCTTGGAATACAAAGAGGAATTTGCCATGTTCCTGACAGCAGTATATAAATACGTTCAAGTCTTTTAAGGCTGATTTCTCTCCCCCCTCTGCTGTTATTTGATGTGGAGTGGACAATGTGGAGTCACTGCCTCTCAGTAGCGGATGCTGCTTCTTTTTATTGGTATTCTTCGGTTTTCCTCCCTTATCGCCAAAGATAGCCTTTCCCAGCACCATCAGATAATCCCAGAAGAAACGTTAGATATAGCCAGTGATGCCGGCAGTACTCTGAGGGTCAGCTGTGAGCTGCCAGGCACCTCCCTCTTTCCCCCCTGAGACCAAATCCAGACAGTCTCATCTCCAGTATGTGGTGTCACACGGGGAAGAAAGGTAAGGCCTGAGACTTTTTCCATCAGTCCAAATCCCAGACGTTCAGTTTGAAATGATATGAAACAAATAAACAACAGTACACTGTCACATTTTAGGAAATTGAAACCATCAAATGTGTCTAGGCACACTTTTGGTGCTCGTTGCTCCACTGAAGGCAAAGGTTTTTTTCCACCACTTTCTTTCAAACTGAATATCTCAACTTATGATAAATTGCCCTGGAATGTGTTACAGACATGTCTTGAAGTTCGTTTTAAAATAAATCACATCCCTTATGTATTGAAATGGAAATCTGAAATACCTAGTTGAGTTATGTAAACACTGAATCTTCTTCTTAGTCATTAGGTGTAGGTCTTGGGAAGTATACAGCGTTTTCATTGTTTGAACTTCAGCAGACCTATTCATATATATAAATAAAACATGAGTACCAAAGCATTTATTTTTAAAGAAGGGAGGAAGCAACCCCTGAAAAAGTCACATAACAGCCTGGGATTTCTTCAGACATTGCATAGAGCGAAATACAAAACTGTTGTGGAGTTTAGTCAAAGCCGGTCTGGCACCGTTTCCTCTGTGAATCGTGTGGATGGCAGCATTTTCCTATGGACGCCGCTCGCAGAATTAAGAAGATGTAGGAAAATTCTCGAGAGGAAGCCTGCATTAGACTGCCAAGTGCTTTAGATGGATAAACTCCTTTAAACCACGACCGTGACAGCAAACAATGTTGATCTCAACATTGGAATAACTTCAGAGCACGAAAGCATGAAAATGGCTGTTCAAAGATGAGCCCTAGTTTGTCTGAGCCAAAACAAATCTGTGAAGAAGGCAGAAAAACTGGCTAATCTATAAGTGCTCAAGGGATACAGATGTATCCGCTTATACTCTAAAGAAGATTTCCTTTCAAAGGCCCTTTATGTGGTTTACGTGTTAGGATTGAGAATGCTGACATCTGTTACTTTGCATTCAATCTAAACCTGGATATGGGAATGTGAGGGTATTGTGGCACTTTTTAGTGGTTCAGAGAAATAAATCTAGTGAGAAGCAATTCTTAAATATCCTAAAGTAACCACATCATCTTTTGTGAATCTTATTTGTTATACAAATAGCTATGACATGAATGAAATGTCATAATAAAAAAACTATGGCAACCATTAAGAAATGTAAACATCCGGAGTTCAATTTGCTGAAGATTGTGACTGTACTGTACATCGTCTGAAAGCATCATTATCTGCTTTAGGCGCAAGGTGTCCACATGCAACAGCTGATAGCATATCTGCTCTGCGTCATCATCACAGAGCAAAGGATGAACATGAAGCTCTATTATCCTGCTCCTCATAATTTGTGGCACACCATTTTCCACAGCACATACTATAGAAATGTATTATGAAATGGCTTATGGCAAATAGTCCAGGTGAACTATTATTAAACTGTAATGGTTTTGAATTCAAGAAGGTCCTCTACAAATTGCGGAAAATAGGTGAAAAATAGCAAGGACAGTAGGTAGATTGTGATTATGTAACTGAGAGCTGCAGGTGCGTTTCAAGGTATTTGTTTTCCAATATGGAGGGGGCAGCTGTGAGGTCAGAGCAAACAAATAGGCCTTTCTGTTCCATTCCACTTCCAACCTGCAAGTGATTTACCTGGAAGTGATTTAGATGATTGTATTTAAGACGTGCTTCAGGAAAAGCATAGCAAACAAAAAGGATAAAATTGGTTTGAGAATTAGATAATAATTGTTTTAATATTAATTTCAATCACATGTTGGTAACTTTAGTTTATTAAATTACATGACTTTTTTACTAATGCCCTCCAGGGTTAAGGTCACTGCAAGCCTGGTTTAATTTCATATCTACATACATGTGGTAGAGGCACTAGCATATTTAGAGGAGACCATTTGACCGCTTACTGCAATGTGGTTAGACAATCCTGTCCAAACCAACCCACACCAGTACCTCCACAGTCTAAACCAGTGTTACCACACCCTCTTTGTCTTGCATCCCTTCACATAATGCAAATAGTGGCACCTAGATGACTAGTTTCCACTTTGACCACAGTGCAGCCATGTTGCAAGCAATGGACACAGTCTTTCTTTTTCTTTTCTTTACTAGAGTAAGGTTCAGTCTGAAGGTCTTGGGGGTGCACAATGTACAGAACAGTACCTTTGTGTCTGTACAGTGTATAATAGAAGATAAAAGCTTAGAAGAAAATAAGACCAATTTTGTGTCATTATATCTGAACTTTTGGTACACGAAAACACCATTATGATACATTTTGAGAACATGCCTGCGGTGCAGTGTGACTGAAGTTCTCAGTGAAGTGTCCTTCTACAGATGGCTGTTTCCCAAGCTGGAGAAGCCTCTAGCTACAGGAAGTCACAGGTGTGATGTTGGGAGACAGAGACACAAATGACACACACTGCTGCCCAAACGGATTACCTCTGACAAGAGTGTGTACTTAGTTACATACAAAACACACAGAAGGCAGGGGGTGGACACAGAAAGGGAAGGTAGAAGTAAATAAAGGAAGGATGTAAGTAAAAGAGGAAGGACAAAGGAAAGGGTGGAAAGAAGACGTATAGAGGGGGTTAAAGAAAGCAAGAAGAAAGAAAGGATCAAATAAAGTGCAGGGGAAGATGGAAACAAAAGTAGAACGGTCCCACTTCAGATGTTTCCCAAACATAATTTTTTAACCTCTTCTATATTTGGCACTGTGGTCGGGTTTTACATAACTCCCACTTCCGACAAAGCCAACACCCACTCGCTGTCAGCCGTGCAGTACAGCCATATGGGACTTCAGCTCTCGTTAGACCAAGAAAGCGTGAAACAAGTCGGCTGAAAGGCATCAGAGACAACCATCACGCAACCCTGGAAGTGGGTGCTCTAGTACCCTTTTAATATGTTAACCATACACTTGAGACACAGTCTTAGGAGCTCTATGACAAAAATATAACGAACCCCGTCAATACTTACCGAGGCTTTACACGGAATCTGATTTAAAGATATACAGAAAAAACTAACGTCTTATTTAAAAAAAAAGGCAAAAGGAGATGTTTTTCAAATGTATATAATATTGTACAGTGTTTAAAAGTAATGTGTGCATTATCAATTTGGATGTGACAGACTGATGATACATTTTTAAAGCCAAAAACTATTTTATGTTTGCCCTTTCACTGGAAACTTGATTATTTAAAGAACAAAGGCGGTTGTGCTATTTTACCACCTTCCACAAACACAGTGAAAACCTGTGACCCATTTTAAAGAGCAACCTCCCTCACTGAGGGCAGGCTGCAGCGACTGGGCCTCTCAGGTTAGGTGCAACTGTGAATTTATTTAGGAAGACTCTGTCGATGTACAGGTGGGAGGATTTATAGAGGGCAGCGTCACCATGGACTCCAGGTTCACTCAACACGAGCGCAGCAGCTTCGTCTGACGCTTGTACTGCTAGACCACGCTATGAATAATCTAGTTGACATACCCTTGAGGTGTGGGACGAAGCAAGACAGCCAGCCAGTGATGAAGCTGGCGTTTAAGAGAAGCTTCGGCTCGTGTTTTTAAGATAAAAACGTTCTTGTATGATAGTGAGAGGAAGTCTGTGTCAGCAAACAATCACAAACTTCATCCAAATCATGCATTCTCAATTTTCTCTGCACCGCACTTAACTAGTACAACTGATTGACATATATGTTATTCATAAGGAAGAAATATTGGGAATGCCGGCAAACAGAGAAGCAGTTAATTTGCGAAGTTAGAAAGTAAAGGACAGTTTAGAGGCAGCAGGCAACCAGTCCATATCTTCTTGTGTTGCAGAGATAACCTCACTAAAGCAAATCACACGATACCTGGGCAAAGATTTAAACTATCATCTTTTTGCAATGGACATATATTGGTCAGGGACAGTGAGTGGTTATTCATGTGTTTTGCCATAGTTAAATATTGGTGGCTGTATACATACAGTTTGATACAGATTATCCGTTTACTCGTGTTAGTGCACAGAACCATTAGATCATATTCAACAGGGGTGGGCTTCTGTGAATGTACAGATAGTTTGTTTGTATCTCTTTGTTTGAAAATATCTCCTGCTGTTTGATTGGTTTCCTTACTGCACTTTTATTTAATTCCCTAAATTGAACTTCAGAAATGCTAAACTGAAATATCTCTGCACTTGAACTCGAAAGTATATTATACACTGTTGCCCATAACGTTGGAATAATTTATTTTTCAGATACATTCCTCTTTTTATTCCTATCTACACACACAATTTCATTAAACTGTTATAGCAACCTTAGAAGCCTACATTCTGCATAATAAAGGACTTTCTTTCTTCGTCTCTGAGGCTTTTCTCCAAGATGTTTGAGGAATAAACGTATTTACTTTTTTGACATGACTTTTGATAAAAAAATCGATTGATTAATAAGAACATTAATAACATCCTCCACAGATATCAAAGGAGTGTATTTAACAATGTTGAACTATTGTTGTAAATGTTTCAAATGGTTATAGTCATTGCAGTTTTCATTGAGCATTAATGTTTAAACATTTCTGTTTTCAGTCAATATAATAAGAAAACAAAATGAAACTTATTTTACAGCGCTATAGAAATATAATTTATTATTATTATTACATGTCAGTGATATTTCCTGGTCCATTTCCAACATTCAGTTGTTAAACACCCAATCTCTTCTTCCAGCTAATACAATTAATTATATTCCACAT